AGTGTTTAACCTTTTAGCATTCAAAACTCAAACCAACTCTGAAATATCAACTCTCAAAGTTTGTGGTCAAAGTCACACTTTGCATGATTTGTTCGTTATTTGCAATGATGTCATATGTTTTGGCAGAGTAAACATTAAAGGATTTTTGTGGGTTGAACATTGGAAGTTGATATTTAAAGAGCAGGTTTGGTTGGGTTGAATTTTGATAATAAAATAAAAATAGAAATTTTGAGCTTCTTTTTTGATTACATTTATGTAAACTTCTTATTTGGATCAACATTTTCTACACTGACAGTAAACATCCTTTAAGACATTCTATTAATGTTTAAGTTAATTCTTGTTTGTAGCTAATGTTACTTTTGATCAGAACAAAAGTATTAAAAGAAATAAACTAGAGGGGGAAAAGAGAAGTTTGTATACTATAAATTTTACCTGTGCTTTTATTTAATATTTAATATTTAGTTCCAAGTCTGGTCTATATACTTTCAATTTAAATAAAATATCAAAATCCTGTTTTAGTTACAAAATGTTCAGTAGTTTTTTAGTTGTCTTATTGATTATCCTCTAAATAAAATTTTAGATTTTTTCAGATATCAATTTTAAATCTTTTAAATGTTGAAATTAATCATAAATAATAATGTATCACATAACAACATAATACCTCCCATATATATATATATATATATATATATATATATTTATATATATTGTTCAAGCAATTTTGATTCTTCATAAATTTATATATGCACAATTTGCCTACTTTTGCACAAACACTTGTTAATATGCATGCCAGAAAAAAATCAGAAATATATTTAATCAAATATCCACAAAAATTTGAATGAGAATGTCTATCATATTGTTGGTTTGTTGAAACTGAATAATTTAAGTTTACCTGATAAAGTCTTTAGTAATGATTTGCTCACTGCTTTCAGTCCACTAAATTTTCTATCTTTCAAAGTGGCTTTATTTATTTGGGCTGTTTCAGATGAAAAAAATATGATTTGATATTTAAAACTAAAAATAGAAAAGGGAAATTAAGATTTTTGTTAATGAACTATATTATATTTTTTTTTTTTTTTGAACAAGAAAATTTCCAGTGTAGTTTTGCATTTATTTATTTTGAAAATTAACCATTTAGACATTTGAATTTAAACTGAGCCCTGTAAATATTGGCTCAGTGTCTCACTGTTTGTGTGACTTTCTACATTTGTTAAATATTATTATATATTTTTCAACTATACATGGAGTTGGATTGAACATTAAGAGCTGAAATAAACTGGGCAGGTTTTTATTTTTACTTCTAAAGCGTTTAAACATGTATATTTGAATATCAAGATTTTATTTAAGCAAAATGTTTAATAATTTACAAATCTAGAATTTAATCCTGTGAAATGACAAAATTTACATACTGTGTAAAATAAGGTTTTCATGAAAATTTTAAATTTTAAATTTGAAAGATCTTAAACAGGAAATTTATTTTTTTCTATTAAAATAAATATTTCATCTATGTAATTTGAAAATTTTTTTTTTTTTTTTTTTTTATAGTAAAATTGATTAGATGTATGGTCTGTGTAAATGCTGAATAGTGAATTTTGTTTCATACCATATTTCCTTTTTTTACATCTTTGCTCACTTGAAAATAACCTATTTCTTACAAAAAAATTTATTAAAATTAAAATAATGGTTAATTTCAACAATGCAAATTTTAAATGATCTCATTAAAAAAAATTATCCTCTTTGGACAAATTTCTTTTTGGATTAGTTTCTGATTAAACAAAACTCTTATTGTACAAGCAGATTTTTTATTTAGAAACAATTTTTTATGTGCAATGCCTCTTTTTTACAAATTTTCTTTAAAATAAATAAAATTTTCAAATTTTCTCTTTCTTAAAGTTTGCAATTTAAAATTTTGATGCAATTCAGATGTCCCATTATTCTGAACCTAAATAATTACTTTTATTACTCAAGTTTATAGTGAAATTTTATGAATTAAAATTATATACAAAACATCTTCATCTTTGCTTTATTTATTGGTGTAATTAAACTGATATTTGTTTTCACAGAATTTTATTGTCCCATTTAGCAAATAAAATGTTCTAAACCTGTTGATTAACAACTGAAAAAACCTCTAAAACTTTCAGTATTATTAACATTTTATTTGTTCATTTATAAAAATATATTTGCTAAGACATTTAATGTTTAATTTTGAAACATTCAAAATTGGTTAAAGCTGCTGCTCCAGTTGGCTAAGCCCAATATATTTAAAAAAAAATTATCTTCTGAGACCCCAAACAAATAAAAAAATAGTATGTCAAAAAAGTTATTCTCTTGACACTTTAGCTATATACTTTTACTCCCTCAGTAATTTTTAGTTTTTAAAAAGCAATGATTAGAATTTTAATGAAACACAAAAATTTAAAAGTAGATTTATTTATTTTCATTATTCTTGAGAATTGACAACAAAGGTATTAAACACTATTTATTGCTTATTTGCAAGAATAATTTTATATTTATAAGAAAATTATGTGAACCAACTATAATGAAATATTTATTATTTATCATTATATAAAGAAATAAATAAGAAAAGAAATATTTTTTTATTCATAAATTTATAAAAATGTCTATGAACAAGAAAATTTGAATAAACACATAACCACAAGTAACTTGTAATTATAAATTTAGAAAAAATGCATCTTCTTTCATTTTCTGATAGGACATAAATTCACTAAAATAGATTGAGATCATCTTTTCCTCTGAACCAAACATTCTTTTATGTCTGTCAGGTTTATTTAAATTTTCTTGTTCTATAGTTATTTATAAAATGGTAAATAAATATTGTATTGTAGATAGTTTGCATATTTTGATAAAATATAAACTCTTGAATAAAAAGATTTCTTTTCAAATTTATTTCTTTATAAAATGATAAATAATAAATCTTTATAAAAAAAAGAAAGAAAAGGTAAATAATAAATATAGCATTGTACTTTTGGTTCACATATTTTTATAATTTTGTAAATAAATATTGCCGAGGGAGTCAAAAGTGTATTCAGTAATAGTGGTGTGAGGGAATAACTGTCCTTTCTTTTGACAAAGGCTCGAAAGTCAAACATTGTTAAAAGTAGAATCTAGTCTAGTTTCATTGAAATTTTGTTCTTGAAACCAATTAGACAACCTTGAAGAAGTGTTATTTTAGAGAATTATAGTCAGTTAAAAATACATTTTCATTTTAAAAAATGTAGTAAAATTAACTAAAAAAAATTTTTTAAGCTAAGATTGTTCTTTTTCAACATTAGATATAGGTTTTGGGTAAATAAAAGAACTGAACGTAAATGATTTACTTATAAAGATATTTAAGATAGCATTCTGACTTATTAATTAATTTATTTAATTAATAAGTTAAAGAAAAATCAACTTTATGAATTTATGATAAAAGAAAACATTTGAAAATAATAATGAAACCATAAAAAAGCCAAGAAGAACAAAAATAAAAAGTCAAGACAAGATCAATATGAGAGTAAATCAATAAGTTCGTAGCTTCGTGTATTGAATTTGGATCAAATTTTTTCTTTGTATAAAGTTCGAATTGTCGACGAAGGGAATTTTGTTAGAAAAAATAAATAGTTAATGCGTAAAATATATTTTATCACAAAACAAAATATAATTATTTTTCCCTTAATGGAAAAAAACACGGTTTCAAATTTTAAAAATGTTCGTGATAAAAAAAAGAATTCAATGGCATTTTTCAGTCACTATTATTATTCAACAAGCAAGAGAAATGTTCCATTTTTTTTTTTTTTTTGCTGACAAATGATTGTAATTGAGCTTTTGTCATTTTTATATGGGAGGGTGGTGACTAAGAAAATCCTGACCCGATCAAGAAACACTTGAGAAGAAAGAAAAAAAAGCAAGTCAAATGCTGATCCGATTTTTGATGAAGGGTCGGGCCGAGAACTTTTCAACACATGACCCATTGTATCGTGACAGGCACGGTCGGGGTTTTTTTTTTTTTATGACAGAACACATTTCATCGCTGAACACTTTTTTTTTAAGGAAAAAAGACAACTTAGCATCCATGATTTTAATTTTTTAGGGAATTAATAAAGTAAACTTATTAACAGTTAATTAAAAAAGGTTTTTTTTTTTAACAAATGAAATGTTTCCGTAATTTTTCAGTAATTGGTTGAAAAAGGAAGCTTGTAAACTGGCCAGAAAATAAAAATAAGTAAAAATAATTCATACGTTTTATTATGACAATAATTTGTCCAGGTAATCGAGAAAAATAATAGTTTGAATTTTATTCGTTTCTTCATCGAAACTAAATTTATTTTAAAGATTAGCAAAGAAGACACAAGAAAAAAAAAGACAATCGTAATGTTGGGTTTTCTTTTTTGTTTAGTTCTTTCAGTTTTGTTTTCACTACAGGCATAAGATTCAGTCTTTTCATTTTCTAAGCGATATTTACTGATATTTGGGTAAAAATAAATAGAAGGAATTTAATTATTATTCATTTAAAAAGAAAAAAAAATCAGTTGAAATAATAACGGATTTAATTTTAAAAGTACAACCCTGAGAGACATTTTTAAACAATTTCAAACGAACAGAAATAGAGGGACATCCTATCAATTATGGAGATAATAGGGAATACTTTGAGCAGATAAACATTTATCAAAAAAATGATATATAATCTCACCTAATTTGACCCTAACCCTGTCGCAAGAGCCTAGTCTAATTTGAAGGGGGATAATTAAGAAGATATTTTTCTCTAATACAACTTGACATGACGACCGTCCCAACATGGCGGACAGGTGTTGTCCTGTTGTAAAGTTGACTTTCATCTGTTAAAGGGGAAAATGTATAATTTATCTTTCTCACTTGCATCTATTGATGCATTGCTAAAAGAAACATAATATAACAATCAGTTATAAAGATAAGTGTGCATATTTTGCGTATTTTCATAGTAAATATTGTTTGTTTTGTAAGAGTACGAGTCTGGTGACGTTATGGGGAACCTTTTTGGTAGTAAGAAAAAGAAAGAGACAAGGATTACAGAACAAGACAGAGCTGTTTTTGTGAGTTTTATCATTTATATTTTTATATCAAAACAATTTGGGAGACATTGGGGAGATGTAACATTTTTCTTTATTGTTTGTAATAGGTTTGAAATACAATCTGACAAGTGTTTAAATATTTGTTTACATATGCACCAGCATCTTTAAAATCGTATATTTGTGTCATTTATTTTACCTATTGATTGAAATGTTGTATATAAATCATAAAAAATATGTCAAATTATTTTAAAAATTCATCTGGACGTCGAATTAATAATTTTGAATAAAACTTTAAAAAAAAAAGTTAACATTTAACACAATTGTTTTTGTTTTCCTGCAGGAAAAGTACAGATTACAAACAAAAAAAAACATCGTAAAGTCCATTAACTTCTATTTTTTTTTTAAATGTTTAATTAATTTGTACATTTAATATTTAATTATTGTAAACTTTATAAATCAATCAATCAATCAATCAATAGTATGAAATTTACTTCATTTCTTCAATTGACATAGGAATTATTTTTCTACCTTAAAAATTCACTTCCGTTGCAAATAAAATTTCAAGAAATCTCTTATTTTCAATTTTGTTTTAATTAATTATTAAATAAAATATATAGAAATTTGCAATGAAACTAAGATTTTTTAGCAGCTTGGTTACTGTTAATTATACAAACTTAAGCAAAATTTGGAGGGTTTTTCTAATTCGTGACAAACAATAATATTTTATGCCGGCATTCGATAAAAATAAAAACTAAAACCAACAAAACCTTGCATTCTTCCTAGAGGCGTCGTCATCTTAAACCATTTCATCATCTTCCTTCTTTCTTTCCTTACTATTCAAGGAATTTGAAGATGCAATGAATTCTAAATTCTTCCTGGTTTCTCTTCAATGAGAAAAGGGAATGGTCATAAAATTTGTGAACTCGCTCCAAAGTTCTAGGTTGGTGAGTCTCGTTGCCACCACATTCAGGATAAAAAAAAAAGAATCCTAATTTTATAAGTTTGCTCCAATTTTTTTTATTTCTAAATCCTAATAGAATTTGCCTCTGATCGAACACTCCAAGAACAGTATATTTTTCTTTTATATTTTTTTAATGAATCATTTCACCTCAAGCAAGGTAATAAAGCCACTATGACGCAAGGGCTTATGAGCCACGTCCTTTCAGAACATGGACGATTTCTCGCCGTTTCTCCTTCCCTGAATGCATCATTAAAAAATGACCCCAATTGCTCATTTTGTTATATGAACAATTTGCTTTCTATGACACAAATAAATAGTTAAAATGTATGAAATTGTAATTAATTTAATGAGAAAATTAAGAATGTGATTTTTATTTATGTTTTTATTTTGAAGTTAGAGACTGTAAACAAAATGTGTGTAGCAATGATAGTTTTGTTTCAAGGCAATAGGTATCCCCTTGGTTTGTTTACGTTATATATTATATATATATTTTTGTAGAATAATAAATAAAAAAAACATTTTTTACTCGTAGTTTATTCAATACAATACCCAAAGGCTACTCAAAGTAGAGGGTTACGGAGTGTAAAGGGGAAAGTGTGAGTGAGAATATTATGAGGATGAGTAGGATAGATATCAATTGACCCTAAGCCTTAAAGAGACCAAGAATTTAGTAGTTGTCTTTCCAGAAGTTTCCAGTAGTTGTTCTTTCCCAAAACTTTTGCTTTGCTCCACAAAGTAAAAGTTCTGGGAAAGAAGCTGTCTGAGTAGAACTTGCTTTTTATCAAAGGAACATAAAGGGAATGGGGGTGGACTGTCATCATGAACATGGCATGGTGGTTCCTAGTTATGAAGGTCTGACACTAGGAAAAGTAACTTGTCTGAATATCTGCTATAGTAATAATGATATAGTAGTGAAAGGCTGATGATATTTTCATCTGTGACATAGGCATTGCAGGAAGGAGAGTGATTCATCACTCACAAGGTCGTGTAAGTGCTTTTAAACTCTGATGAGGCTAAACACTGAGGATTAGGCAGTTTCAGCCCAGGTATAGCAGCAATACTCCATCTGAACATCAGTGCTTGGCAGTTTTGCAAAAGAACATATGAGGAATGGAAACATTCTGTGAGAAGCCATTTAGTTCTTGGAAACATATTTAAAAGATTCCTGATTTTGCTTTCACAGTTTCACCTTAAGCAACTGTCAAGTTCTCTCTCCATGGTTCTCATCTAAATTGTAAATATCTACCCTTTAATATGTGAATTGATTTTATAAGATTTCTTGAATATTCAGGGAGTTGAAAATAAGTAAACTGAGCACCTGCCCAAATACAAGTCTCCACTAAAAATAATGTTTGAAGTGATACAAATTCTAAAAAATTCTCCTTGTTTATGTTTGGATACAGAACATGTACCGATATTAAAAAAAACTTTGAGAAATCTATGATAGGAAAAATTTTGCTTGAAAGGCATGAAATTGACTTTGCTTTTGTGGCCAAGCAGTAAGGTGCACCAGACTAAACTGGCTCCATCTTCTCTGAGAGATGCAGGTTCAATTCCTTCTGAGGAGCACAAATTTTTCTTTAATAAGATTTCTTGAATATTCAGGGTGGTAGGTAAAAATAAATAAATATACTGTTTAATAAATTAATAGAGCACCTACTCAGATTATGTGTATCCACTAAAAATAATGTTTAAAGTGATATAAATCTTATATTGATATATTTGTTTATGTTTGGATATAAAAATATGTGCAGATATGAAAAAGCTTTGAGAAATCTATGATGGGAGAAATTTCACTTGAAAGCACAAAATTTCTTGTCATTTTTTTTTCTTTCTGAAAACCTAGATGATCCCACATTTGTCTGTAAATTACAGCTTATACTTCATTTCCCAAATGAAAATGGCTGTAGATATTGTAGCAGATTTGTTAGAAGAGAAACTTTTGAAATTTGTGGAATAAAAATGAAACAAAAAATCATTTCAGTTGCATTACTTTAAGTAGGTCTGAAATTGTTGGTATTATATTCATTATTATAAATTTTACCTTCTAAAAATGATAAGAATAATGACAGGCATTTTTAATATTGTGCTGTCAAAAAAGAATAATAAAGAAAAAACTAACCAGTAACCCCCTCCCTTTTACAGGTTTGACATTAATTTGTTTGTATGTTGTTTTATTGTGTTGTTTTTTTTTTTTAACAACATTTCATTCATGGTGCCTTTCTTTCCATGTGCTGTAGGTACTGAATGGTTAAGACATATAGTGATTTACTAAGTGTAGCTTAGATGTGGCACAAGTTTGCAAGTATGAAGCACCCAGTGAGGATCTCACTACTTGATCATAATCAATTTCACAAAAAAAAGCTTGCTAACCATTACAATATGTCAAAGTGTTTGAATAATTAAACCCCAAATTTTATTGGTTGCTTTTATTTATAACCTGTAAGTATATAAATTTTACAAGTAAATAGATATATTGTCTATGAAATTGAGTTAAATTTTTTTTTAATCATTTCACCTCAAGCAAGAGGCAATGGGTTACTGAGTGTGAAGGAATATAAAAAGTGAAACATTATTAATGAGAGGCAACAATAAAAGAACAGGAATTAAGAAGACAGAAGATAACATTACATTTAAAACATTGGTAGCACCAACATCCTATTTATCAGTAAATAAATTCCAAACCTAGCATTATCCAAACTAGAATGTTGACTGCTGCTGCTGTCCAGACTTTAGAAAGTATCAGTAACACTTATTTGTCTTAAAGATGGTTAAAATTGCAATTTATTACTACAGATAGAAAGTGTATGAGGTTTGGCTGAAAAGTTCATAAGCTGAATATGAAGGAATGATGCTAGAGCTGTGAAATCTTGCACACATTAGTTTCAACTCTTCTTTTTAATATCTGCATTGTTTATTTTGAGGTAAACTGACATCTGATTGTTCTTCCTTGTTGGTCAAGAAAGTCATCAACAACATATGACATTGTCATCACTGCAACACTGGTTCTCAGCCAAGTGTTTTCTCATGTTGGGAAACAGATGATAGTCAAATCAGGAGAATTATTAAAAAATTCAAAGCCACAGTCACACAGCAGCCATTGAAACCATGTACTTGTGTGCTGAAGCATTGCCCCAATGAAACAAGACCCCTTTCCTCAGTTTTTCTGGGCGTTTGGTTTTGATAGCCTTTCATAACTGCCTCAACAAGTTGGCATAGTACTCTTCATTGATGGTGTGGCCGGCCCTTTTGAAGATAGTAAACATAATGCCTGCAGATGAAATGTCTTTGGCCTTCTTTGGAGCAAGTGAGGAGGGGTATTTCCACTCCATGGATTGTCTCTGGCTCAAAGTGATGAACCCAACACGATATCCTGGGTTAGGAAACATTCAATGAAACCAACTGGATTCTGCCTCAAACAATATCAGATTTTCCCATGATGTGATTAGCCTGTGTGCTTTTGATTAGGTATTAGAAGACTTGGCAGCCACTGAGCAGAAACCTAGCCAAGTTCATTGTGCAGAATATTCTGAACTCTCTCATGGGATTTGCTAATAGCATTGGCTATTTGATTTATAGTCACTCACTTGTCATCCATCACCATGTGGGGAACATGATCAATGTTTTCCTCAGTAGTTGTAGTGAAAGGATGTCCAGACCTTGGGTTATCTTCCAGACTCCCATTACCCCTCCTAAATTCATCTTCTTAGTTTTGCACTATTGATAAAGCTGAAACGTTATCCCCTAATGTAACAACCATGTTATGGATTTCTTTGGAGGCTAAACTCTTTTTCTGCAGGTACTTGATAACACAACAATGCCAAATTTTGTCCATTTTCAAGAGAAGTTGCTACTAGTTACTTTTAAAGTCTTTTTTGAACAACCAGATGTCAGTTTACCTGGAAGGAAATAATCCAATTATTAATAAAAAGAAATTAATGCATGCAAGATTTCACAGCTCTAACATCAACTTCTTCATAGTCAGCTTATGAATTTTTCAGCTCACCATTAATTTTTTTCTAAGTTGGTGATGCCTAATATTGTCATTAAATATTTTCTTAATAAAAAAATAGTAGTGCCTGCAATAAGACACTTTTTTAAAAAGCTATGATTAGAATTAGAATAAAGCCTAAACATATGATGAAAGGGAATTTGATGAAAGTACGTTTGTCCATGTTTGTCAAATATTAGTTATTCACTCTAGAAGGATAAAAACCAAAAAGCTAATCTGATTATTAAATTTTTCAGAATGCTCTTTTAATCCTGAGTATAAACAAAAAAAGCATTTTTATAAGTGATTTCTTTTACATTTGTGCTGCAATCCAATACTGAATTTCATTAAAAAGCATTAAATTCATAAGTTTTACTGAGAATTAAGAAGCATTGCTTTCATCTTAATTATCAATACATTGTATATAAAATTTATTAGTTTCTTTCTCCAGCTTCTGATTATTATAAAAATGTCAGAATTCCATTAGAATAGAAATTTCTATCATTTCTAGTTATAGAACTGTAATGATAGAAATAGCAATCATCTGCAACTTATAAGTTCAATTTTTTCTAATTGAATTGAGTGTAAAAAAAATTGCATTTAAAATAATTACTGCATTATTCTTATTTTTATTCAGCTAAGCATTTATACACTTTTATTCTAACTTGTTTTTTAATAATGTTATATTTGCAAATAATGATTGTTTTTTTTCTGTGCATGTGTAATGTAACTCACTTTTGCTTGACTTGAAAAACTTAAATGACTTTGGTGGATACTGCTAAGTTTTTATTAGAACTATCAATATACAATAATAACAAAATAAAACTTATTTTTTATAAGTATTAGGGCAGTGGTCCCTAAACCTTTTTTCTCTGAGCTGCATTTTTCAGAATAAAAATTTGCTCACACATCACCAAATTTTATGTGATAAAAAGTACATTAAAAATAAAAAACAGAGAGAATGTTAAAGCGAGATAACCGTGGATTCAAATTCAGAACATTATCATTGATAACTTTCTCCTCCAATTTACAGACCCTAGTTACTATATTCTTAATACTTTATGTAATGCAAAAATATCACAATCATAAAATCAGTCAATAATTATTTATAACTATTTATACTTGGACTCATGCATGCAATTATAAGTAATCCATAATAATATTTTAAATTTTGAAATCGTATTTGTTTTTGGCATAGGAATTTTTGGAAACTGTTCTAAATCTTGTCTTTCAATCATTCCACCTCACCTGCTATACTCTTCTGCCTCACCTGCTATCCTATTCTGTTGCACCTGCTATCCTCTTCTGCTGCACCTGCTATCGTCTTCTGCAGCACCTGCTATCCTCTTCTGCTTCACCTGCTATCCTCTTCTTCTGCACCTGCTATCCTCTTCTGCTGCACCAGCTATCCTTTTCCACCTCACCTGCTATCGTCTTCTGCCTCACCTGCTATCGTCTTCTGCCTCACCTGCTATCCCTTCTGCTTCACCTGCTATCCTCTTCTGCTTCACCTGCTATCCTCTTCTTCAGCACCTGCTATCCTCTTCTTCTGCACCTGCTATCCTCTTCTGCTGCATCAGCTATCCTTTTCCACCTCACCTGCTATCGTCTTCTGCCTCACCTGCTATCGTCTTCTGCCTCACCTGCTATCCTCTTCTGCTTCACCTGCTATCCTCTTCTGCTTCACCTGCTATCCTCTTCTTCAGCACCTGCTATCCTCTTCTTCTGCACCTGCTATCCTCTTCTGCTGCACCAGCTATCCTTTTCCACCTCACCTGCTATCCTCTTCTGCTGCACCTATAAGCCATGCTGCATCATTTGGGAACCACTGTATTAGGGAAGCGTGTTGATTTGGCTTTTTGCTTTTGGAGAAAGGAAAAATGTCTACTTTAAATAAGTAAAATTTGATGTATATATATATATATTTTCTTCTATTTTACTTGTTCATGACAGCAATTAAAAGTTCAGCGTGATAAATCAAAGCAATATGCAAAAAAGTTGGATGTGGCACTGGAAAAGGAAAAAGATATGGTTCGTCAGTTGTTGCGAAATGGAAGAAAAGAGTGAGTTTTTTCTTTTTTTCTCTGTTCACTTTAAAATTCCAATCCTCTAAATTATTCTTGAAAAAAATAAATCTCTTACTCAATTTCACTAATGCTGACCTCTTTTCATGCCGTAGTCATAAATGGTATGCATGTATTACCAAAATGGTTGTACAACTGTTGAGAACAAAACTTTACTGAAACATGCCTCATTGTTTTTTTTATAGTTGCTGTATTTCCAAAAGAGAGTCTGTCTATGTTTCTGAGATGAGGTATTATGTACATTATTTACATTATTCGGACTATTGTCCTCATTTTTGTCACCTCAAGGACACATGGCACAGTGGATAAAGGCGTTGGTTAGATCCAGTGACAGGACCCAAAGAGTGTGAGTTCAATACCCAGTTAAGGCAGTGGAGAACTTTCAGAGGGAAATTAACAGGAAATAACTGATAACTGACATCCATCAAACATGGCACGTGGAACTAGAACAGTCTACCCCAGTGAGCGAAATAAAGGGTTCAGTTCGACATTCCAACCACCTGAAGAAGGCAGGAGCATACAACGGCTGAAACGTTGTGATAAATATGGCGACAAAGATGAGGACAATAGTCCGAATAATGTAAATAATGTTCCAAAAGAGAGTTCCACACTGAGAAGTGTGATAGAAGAAACTGTTAACATAAAACTTATGGTTACATCTTGCCATTTGAACTGTAAAATGATGAGATCTTGCTGCTAATCTATTATTGCTTTTAAATTCATAAAGTCTAGGTACCATAGTGGAAAGTTCGTCAGAACAATTACCATGAAAGTATTTATAGAAAAGGCTTAGGGAAGCTATGTTACGACAACAGGAAAGTGACTGATGCCAGGTCAGGACCAATAATATTGCAGATTCTTCTTTAGATTTTATCAATAATCTCAAAATATATAGCCAGAGTACCAGACCTGATGTGGCAGAAATATTCAAAGCAAGGACAAATGGTAGACATAAATATCTAAGATAGATGCTGGTAAGAAAATTGTTGCATGTTTTTAAACTTGAATAATGAAAATTTGGGTAAAGAATATGCCTTGAACTTGTAAAGAATAAAGTTTATTGGATATACAGTGTATGACAGAAATTTCTCCAACATAATGGTAAGACATTAGTGGCAATTTTCTTCATCTAGCTAAAGATTATGTCTTAAGATTATGTAAGACATATTTCTGCCACACACTACATAATGTAACTTTGTCAGGTATGGCTAGAAAAAATGCCTCTGTATAGTAGTACAGAGTGAATACATTGGATGTATAATTATAATTTTTACTTCAACTTCTGAAATAATGACAAGTGGATTTTTTTAAGTAAAGAAAATGATTGTTATTTATTTGTTTTAACATTTCAGGAGAGCAAAGTTACTTCTTAGGAAGAAGAAATATCAGGAAGGTCTCATTCAGAAAACAGAGAATCAATTGGAAACTATAGAACGTATGGTAAGTTTGATTCCAGTTATGATCTTAACATTTTTTAGGAATAACAACAGTTGGCTTAATTTTACTGCTTATTTTTCTTTGTTTTTTTGTTTTTTGTTTTTGTTTTTGTTTTTTATTTAGCTTTTAAAAAAGAACTTTTGTTTCTCCCTCACCACTTTTTTAACTGTATAAGAGTTCTTAGTAAGTAGGTATTTTAGAAAATATATTAGATATATAGTGTTAATATTTGTCAAACATTCTGAACAGTTACTTTGAATCCTCTGGTCTGGAACATCTCTTCATGTCTTTTAGAAAATGCTTATAAATACAAAATGTAATGATCATGAGAAAAAAACAAAATGGACATGCTAATTAGAATAAATATATTTTTTAAAAATATAAAAATGAAAATATTTTAATTCTGTATACATGGCTTATTTTGGGGCTTATAAAATTTGAAAATATATGAATATATAAACTTGTTGTTTCTGGAAAGCCATTAATAAAAATCACTAAACAGTGTAAAGCAGCCAACAGCCTGTAATGGCCAGAGAACCTAAGATCCATTTTTACAAGGAAGTTGAACACTGTGCAGAAAACCCAAATAACTGACAGCATGATGCTACTAAGTGGAATCCAGGATTGGAGGGTGTGTTAGTGGATCTTACAACACCTCTGCAAATTCTGGTACACATAATCCAAACAGATACACACTCTGACATTGTGGCATGGTCTCATTCAAAAAAGAGTAGAATTAATGGTTCTATGGGAGGAGAACAGGGAGGAGGCACACAAGCAAAAGAAAAAGGGGTGGACATGCCATGTGCTACCTACTGAGGTCAGATATTGTGGATTCCTTGGACGTTCAATTGTTTCCTTCCTTTTGAATGTGGGCATCACTGGCTGGTACCTGAAGATTGCTTCACATTGTCTCCAGACCGCAGCTCAACAGTTATCGAGTTGGATCTGGTCAAGATCCAAAATAAACAAAGTTAATTAAAATAATGCTCACCATGTATTGCTACTTCTGACATGAAACACTTCTGTTCAACTTCCATTGTACATCATTGATAATGGTCGCTACAAGTGTGTTGTGTTTTATTTAACAATGAAAAGCAAATGATTTTATTGAACACAACATTGGAAAATCTGAGTTGCATAAAAATTGCAGAGACTACACTGTAAAACAATGCCTTGTCTGTTGGCAAAAGTTGCTGGTGGCAGTACCACCTTGGCTTACTAGAACTGTATTACCTCCCCTGGTTGATAGCTGATGAGGGTAGGGTATTGCATATGCTTTCACATGTTGTATGCAAAAAAAAAATAGATATTTGTTACCTCTTGATTTTTATAAAGCCAAACATGTTTCAGGCTTTTGTCAAATGTACTTATTAATATTTGTTTCTTAAACTTTTTCATAAGGTTGTACTTTTAATTTCGTACAGCAGCCTTATGAATAATAAGCATACTTTAGTTTTATTTTCCTTGCCTTTTTTTTTGTGATAATTGTCTAAATCTCATTATTAAATGCTTATCAGATCAATATACTTTTCAAAAAATTTAATAAATGACTTCTACAGTCTATACAAAAGGGATTCTGAAAAGTTCTCAGCCTAACCCATTTTTCAAAATTTGAACAAATTACCAACTCTTAGGTTGGGCTGATAATTTTTCAGCAGCCCATTTGTTCAGTTATACACACTTATAAAGTTTTATTTTTTACTTTACAAGGTAACCAAAAAGTCTTTGCTGTTTTTGATTTATTAGAAAAAAGGTATACAGCAAATTTGATATATCATTATACCTTGTTCTAATCCCCATTGGCATCCAGACCCTTTTGCTAATGTGCCTCCAGCTGCACAATGCTATGGTGGTAAAAATCACATGTCTTGGACTCAAAGAAATCTGTGAATGCTTGTCACAAGTCTGCCTCATTTGCAAAGGATTTCCCATGAAAGTGGTTGTCCAAGGAATGGAAGAGGTGGTATTCTTTTGCCGCAAGGTCTGGGGAGTAAGGTGGATGGCACTGTATTTCCCAGCCAAGTCACCATATGGTAGAAATGGGCAGTTTAACTGAAAATCCGACTTTTCGGTTTCATCTTCACACTGTGAAGCTGCATCAAAATTTTTTACGAAACTGAACGAGTTTGGTTTTTGAAAAAGACTTTGAAATGTTAATAAAATTAAATTTTCTCAACATCTATACAATTGTAAGAGAACAAGATTGAACAAAACATTTAATTGACTAGTTTTAGGAAAAAACATTTAATTGACTAGTTTTAGGAAAAAACATTTAATTGACTAGTTTTAGGAAATAAATGTGAAATCTATTTGTTTACAAAAGAAATGAAGAAAAAAAGGAAATACAACAGATATGACAGTTGGAAATCATGTTTTCAAACAGAAAGAAAGAGGAAAATATGACATGGTGTCTGAAATCTATTTGTTTAAGTTTTCAAAAAAAACTTTTTGTAAAATTGAGTTAATAACAAAATAGTGAGTAAAAATAAAACAAATAGTTGCCAGTTTTGTCTTAATGTTAAATTTTATGAAGTTGGATTTTTTGTAAGGGTTTTCTACTAAACCAATACGCGAATCACAAAATAAAGTTGTTGTAAATAAGAAAAATGAATGAAGATTTTTTTTATAAATAAATTTGTTTTTTATCTAGGGAATCAACCTAAATTAGATATTAAGAATAATTAAAATAGTTCTTAATTTCACTTTTAAAATGTGTATATTTCCAGATATGTGAGTCTCTAGTGTAAACATTGTTTTCTACAAATAAAATTATGTTTCTATCTAGCAAATACACCTAAAATTAGATATTAAAAGAATAAAGTAAGTTTTAATCTCAGTTTTAAAATGTGTATATTTTCAAAACTGCAAGTCATTTTTTTTTTAAACCCAAAGTAAAAATTATTCTTTTTTAGCCACTAGTGTTTGGTGGGTGTTATACTTTTTCTGCCTATAAAATTCTTCTACACAAGAAAAATTAATTCATTTTATTTTTACAAATATCTTTATGATTTTATCTGGTGAATACACTTTAATAAGATTATATTTTATATTAAAATGATTAAAATAGTTTTTAATTTCAGTTTTAAAATGTGTATCTAAAAAAGAACAGGTGATACTCACAGATTTAGAAATCTCTTACATTCTAAAAATTAAATTAAAGCTTTTGATTATTTTTAATGTTTAATTTTAGGTAAATTCACTAGATAAAAACATAAATTTATTTAGAGGAAAAAATAACTCATTAATTTTCCTTGTTTAGAAGAAATTTATTTGCAAAACCCCAATAGCAGTTGACTGTGGTACCAGAAAAGAATTGTTGTATTTTTAATTATTTTAAACATGAGGGCTTCCATTTTTTTGGCTTTTTAAAAGCCACAAACTAATTTCTGGAAAGCTATACCATTTTCTCTCTCAAAAATGTGTTGTCCAAAGACACAAATATAGATATTTTATGCATCGATTTCTTTTGTATTTTACCAAATTGTTAATAAATATGGTAGTTAATTCATAGTTGACAATTTATTCAAAAGTTTAATAAACTTGAATAATCTAAGTCCTGAATTCTATGACTAAATTACCTTTAAAGCCTAAAAACTGACTTTGGGTGAACAATCCCTACTTTACTTCCCCTTTTTGGGTTTTCAATTTCAGTGGTCTTTAACACCTGTCTATAAATTTTTATTACCCTTGCTTAAGACCAAATATTGACCCCTTATGCACCAGTTAACTAACAGACTTCCAAAATGACAAACATTTAAAAAAAAAAACACTCAAAAGTCAAAAAGTATATAGGGCATTTATTTTATGCAACAAGACAAATTTGAAAGTTATTTTACCACACATACTATCAGTTAATAATTTTTTTTTTTTTTTGCTGCTTACTTTACAATTTTTGAAGGAATTCACTTCCACGAGTCAGAGAAGAAATGAACATCTTCATGGTTGTAGTTTAAGGTGTCTTCTAATGAGTGTATAATTTCAAGAATATTGATAAAGATTGGTTACTTTTATTTTGTGAAACAAAGTAACATGTAAAATTTAGCCTCGAAAAAAAAAATCATATTTTGCATTTTCGGCTGTTTTAACTCACTGTAAAAAAATAATTCAATGAATAAAAGCACATACAAATTACATATTTAGAAAGATTATTTTATTTTCTTTCCAGCCATATGAATATTTTTAAGATTGGGCCAGAAATGCACGTGAAATTGCAAGTTGAACGGACTAAGTTTCAAATTTATCGATCTCAAATGAACTCATATATCGACTGGAAATGCTATCGTTACACAAGAAAATGAAAGCAAAAATATTAGATTAAAAACTGAATCGAAAACTGATAAAAAGAAAAAAAAAAACGGAAACTGATACTTAAACATAAATTGCCAAACTGACCAATTCTGCCATATGGTATCCCTGGCCATCTGCACCACATGAGGCCTGGCATTGTCATGGAGGATCAGTACAACTTTGCGATTAACCAATGCTGGCTCCTGCTTCAGTGATTGTTGCACATGTTCTAACTGTATGTGGGTACAGGTACACAGTGATGATTCAACCTCTTGGTAGCAGCTCATAGCACACCACTTGTCAACTAGTCAACCAGATACAGAGCATGATCTTTTCATGGGTATAATGGTGATCCTGTGGTGTGGGGCACAGTCCTGTGGTGACAATGTCTGGCACACTTGGGAGTGTCATACAGGACACATTTTTCGTCACTGGTAAACATTCTATCAAATATGGGTATGTTGTGGTGTTGAGAAAGCAACAAGAAACAGGCTGTCAATTGTTGTTGCTTGTTGGCTTCTGGCAGTGTGTGGTGTACCCACTTGCTCAAATTATACACATTTCCTATGTGGTGCAGGTGAAGTCTAACTGTTTCATCAGAAATCTGGAAGTGTTTGGTAAGACCCTAAAGGTTTAGTTGCCTTCAGGGGCTTGTCATCCAGGACCTGTGGTTGACCGCTGCAGGGTTCATCACAAAGTGACAAATCCCCCAACCTGAACATCTGAAACCAATGTCTGGCGGTGCATTCACTCACAGTATTAGCCGCAAAGGCTTGATATATTTAGCAACTAGATGTAGATGCTGATGAGCTCACCTTAAAGTTATAAAGTAGACAACCCTGAATAAGCTGCTTTGATATTGTCATGTTTCCTTATGTATGTGCTCAATGCACCTTGCATTGGTCAAGAGCAATGCCCCCACACCCACTGCTTTCCCGACACATGACTCACTCATTTGCATATGAGTGCTCACTTCTTCCCACATGACATAAAAAACCTTTTGGTTACTTTATAGTTAGTTGAGGTAATTGAAATGAAGTCCATCATTTGCAGGAGATGACTTTAGGAGACTTCAATCACTGGGAGACCAACTCCATGCATAAAATAGGCCGGCTTCGCTAATATCACATTGAGATTGCTATGTGAATTTTTCGGATCAAAACAAAAAGCTTATATAATCTGTATTACTTTTCTATTTCACTCACATATATTTATATGAAATGACTCATAGGTTGATATGCTGTAAAACAGAAAAAACAAGCATATATATCTGTAAATATATAAAGAATTAGGCATTTTATGCCCCTTACAAATTAAAAAATAGGTTTCTGTTTATTATTTTTACTCAACATCACACAACTAGAATAAATTCCACTAAATAGACTTTTTGAAATAGTCTGCAGATTGTTCATGATTGATGTTTTTAATATTTTGTCAAAGTTAAATAAAACCATGCTCTCAAAGTTAAATAAAACCATGCTCTCAAAGTTAAATAAAACCATGCTCTCAAAGTTAAATAAAACCATGATCTCAACTGAGCATGAAACACACCCGTTTACTTTGCATTCTATATCATCCATAATGGTTGCTACCAGTGTGTTGTGTATTGGTTAACAATCAAAAGCAAATGCTTTTAACACAATGTTGAAAATCTCAGTTGCAGTTGTAAAAAGAAATCGCAAGAGATGGACACATCTGCAAAAACAATACCCTGTCTGGTGGCAAAAGCTGCTGGTGGCCCCAAGGGTAGAAGTACCACCTTAGCCACCAAAACTGTGTTACCTCCCAAGGTTAGCAGCTGACAAGGACAGGGTATTGCATGTGCTTTCACAGATTGTATGTAGAAAATTGTTTGTTTCTAAATATTTTTATGATTTTCACTTTGCTTCTCTTTTGTAGATTCATAATATTGAGTTTGCTCAAATTGAAGCTAATGTTGTGCAAAGATTATCAGAAGGAAATGCAGCTCTTAAGAAAATGCATGAAGTGAGTAAATTCACCTTTTGACTCTGCATTGAGTTTGATTTTTTAATTTCTTGTTAGAAAAAATATCACTTTAATCCAACAAAACCCCTTTTTTTCTTTCTCTGTCCATGTTATGTTTTTTTTACTATTAATGAACATTTCTGATAAAATGAACAGATATTCTTTGACAAATGATCAGCTTTGTTTCAACAAAACTTAATCAAATCATCTGGCCTTCATTTTGTTAAGCATTCAGAGTAAGAAGAAATTATTGTCAACTTTTAATTTAGTTTAAACTTCATACTCTGAAATGAATTTATAATTTTGCATTTTTTCATATTCTAGAACATAAATTTGAAAACTCCAGAAGAAAAAATTCATTTTAAGAGTTTAAACCACTTTCAAACAAAAAAATATCAATACTCATATTCAGCTTATATTTCCACTTTTGTAACTTGTAAAAATGATGAATTTAATTCTAATTTAATTTAACTCTAAAAAATATACTAATCTCTTGTTGATGCAATAAAAAGGCATGGATTCCAATCAAATTACTAACAAAATTCAACTTTCATTTTTTTTTTCTTACTTGCAGTTTTTGTTAACTTTTTGTTATCTTTTTGTTAACTTTGTTTTTCCTTTTTGCTATGAAATTATTTGAGGGAAATTATTTATTTTTATTTTTACAGTTATTATCAATTGAAGATGTTGAAAGGATCATGGATGACACAGCTGCTGGCATTGAATACCAACGAGTAAGATTTTTTTTTTTTTTAAATTTATGATTAGATCCTTATAAAAAATATTGAAATATTCAGATATCCATGGCTCCTCTCTCTTAACATCATTTTATTATTTTTCCTGTATAATTGTTTACCTTGTTTAAAAGTTATTTATTTTTATCATATTTTACAAGTCCAACACTGAAAATTCCTACAAGATTGTCATAGTATTTGTAGATTGCATAATGATAGTCATTGAGATTTTGTCCATTCCATCAGCTATTGTATTCTCTGTTTAGTCACTTGCAGTCTTCTATGACTAAATCATAATAATCTTTCATAATCTCTACACTATAACTTTATTTTATGGTTTGCTTATGTCACTCACTTGATTAACTGTTGCATGTATAATTGATAAAAATAAGGGTTTGATTTGAGTTTGATTTCAAAAGGCAACATTTAATAATTAAAAAAACGATTACATTGTGTTTCATTGTTTTTTTTTTACAGGAAATTGATGAATTGTTGTCAGGTGGTTTGACAGAGGAAAATGAGGAAGATGTTGTTGCCGAACTTGAGCAACTTCTTCAGGCACGTTTATTGGCAATTTCCATTTTTTTGTCTGTTTTGTAACATGTTAAAATATCTATCTACAAATGCCTTATTCAAACTGGTTTTGTTGTATTATTTACTGTTACGTTGTAACCTAGAATGCAACTATGAAATATGGACTTGGCAGAAAATAATTTTTAGATCAGTATTCCACTAAATGCAAGGGATGCATGCAAAATTAAAAACAATTTCTTTTTATATATTTAGCTTTAAGTTTCTTAAATGTGACTGAAAACTTTTAGAAAGTGGCAGTTTCAGTCATAAAAATAAAATGATTTATTGGCATAGCTAGACTATAAGGAAAGCGAAAAATTCGTTGAGCTGTAATTGTTCTGTAGTTATGAATGAGATTTGATAAAAAGGTAAATGAGTCATGTGTAGTTCAAAAATGTCTGTCATCTAGGTCAGTCATAATGTCAATTTTGGCTAAAATATCTAATGGAAAAAACAACAACAACTATGGGTGAGACTATTAGTGTGAATAACTTGTGAATTAATAATTATGTACATAGGGGATGCTGAAAGGTTTTTGGTTTGACTCACTTCCCATAATATTTTGTAATCAGAATGAGATTGCTAAATTTTGATTTTTATTTTCAATTTCGCTGTGTATTTGATTGTCTCCCTTTAAAGTCACTGTATGCAATATATCCTCTTATATCAAAAGCTTTTTTTCTAGTTAAATAAAAAAATAATTACTGTCTAATGTATTTTTGTACTTTTGTACAGAAAGGGATAGAAAAGGTTTTGCTAATTCAGGAATATGAAATTAGAAAGATTTTCTTTTTGTAATTTTTCAAGAAAAGGCATAAAATTTGTCCAATCATCCCAGATGTCAGTTGATGTTCACATTTTTAAAAAAATATTAAAAAATAATGCAAAATCCATCATAGATCTATACCAAATTTTATCACCTGTATGAATTTTGAAATTTGTTACTTATTTTTATATTAATTCACATGTAAATGAGGATAATCAGTTATGTTTGTTTTCAGTTAATTTACAAAGATTTGATAATTTGAATGAAATATGTGATTCATTGACAATTATTGGAATACCTGATATTGATCAGAATTCATATTTCTATATGCATGCTCCTGAGAGAAAATAAATATGAAAATCTTTGTACCTGTTTGATTATTCAAGTTATATTGTCTATTGATTTTCTTTTGGCCATTAAAAACTTTAGATAATATGTATAAAGGTCTTGAATAAATTGAGCAAAATGCTGTATAATAACAAAAGCAATACAAAAAATGAGTTCAGTCAAACAATTCTTGGAGTGAAAACTTTAGATATTTGAAAAAACTTAATGGAGGTCTATGAAAATTGACTAATGAAATGTCATTGCAAGATGAATTTTATATGAGTCAGTATCTTGTGAAATAATAATGACAGTTCATAGTTTTTAACTGTTGAATATTAATTATTTATGTCAAATTTATTTATGTATTTTACAATGGGATTATTTTTCTGAGAAAAAAAATTAATTCCAATCTAGTTAGAATGACTGCAAAACACTTGCTTCTCCCCAATTTATCAGCAGAAGCACACAAATGCATGCTGGGATTTCTTCCAAGCCAATAAAATAGGCCAGTTCTCAGTTTCATTTGACTCACTCCCAGTCTATCTTGTCTTGAAGTCGGAGTGCAACATTCACTTGTCCGAACTTGCTTTTGTGTGTCAACCCCAATTCTTAATTTGTGAACTTTTTGCCATATTGCTGTTGCTTTTCCTTATTACTGTTAATTTGCCTTGCAAATATTGTTTGCTTGCTTTGTATTATTTTTTACCCTGTTCTATTCTTTTTCTTGTTACTGCTCATTGCAAACTTTATCAGTTCTGTTTGTTGGACAGTTCTATTACTTATTTTGCATTTGAACATGGCTACTCACTCCACAATTTATTATACAATTATTTTTCTGAGAAAACTTTTAAAAATTTTATGATCTGTGATCTGAAATTACTGATCCTATAAAATGATTTTTTAATATTAAGTCTTTTTTTTATTAAACCATATGAAATGAAAGTTTTTTTTTTTTTCTAATTGAGGAGAAATTATTGAAGCATTTTAAAACTAAAATTTGTTTGCTTGCAGGAATCTGAAGAGCAGAAAGAAGTGGAACCAAAGAAAGAACCAGAACCTCCAAAAGTGGAGGAGGAGGAGGAGGAAGAAGAAATCAAATTGCCTGATGTTCCAACAGGAGAGCTGGAAGGTACTCAATTGGAGACACATACAAGAATAATTCTCTATCTTTTTAAAATTCACATCTAAAATTAATTTAAAAAAAAATTTTTTTCTGAATATCAGGGTAAATTTCTGTTGCTAAAGAAAAAATAAAATTAAAAATTAAATTTTATTATTGAGGTGAGCATGAACACAAGTTAAAAAGTTTTTATTTTTCAATTTTGATCATTTTTTTTTTTTTATAATATGGATAATAAACAAAGACATTCACAAACAAATCACTTTCATAATATCAACCACTACAAGACAGTGACCATTCTCAAATCCTTCCATGACATCTGTGACTGTACTATTCTTTGCCATATCTATTTCAACTTCCCCTCTTCTATCTGGTCTTTTCCTAGTGCATTGTCTGCTCAATGGCCACCAATCAAGCAACTTTTTGCTCCATCTATTATTGTTTTTATGTGTCCCCACCAAACTCCATTTTTATTATTTAATCACATCTATGATATTACTTCTCTTCTCTTTGTTCTCTGACACATGTTCATCTCTTTCCATCTTTTGGGATTATCCTGACCATTACTGTTTCAATTGATCTTTTTGCATTTTTTATTTTGTTTTCAAACAATTTTGTTTGCAAGTTTTCTACCTTTACATCATATCTGGCATTATATATTTACTATACACTCTGTGTTTTAAGCATATTTAACGGGTTGCTTTTCATTTTATCCATGCTTAGAATATTGCTGTCAATATTGAGCTCCTTGATAAAATCCAAAGAAGAATCAGCAATATTATTTATCCTGATCTGGTGGCTCGGCTTCACTCATTTTTCTGTCACCGTAAGGTTGCTTCTCTGTGCCTTTTCTATATATACTTTCATGGTAATTGTTCAGATGAGCTCTTCACTATGGTACCTAGATTTTTTGAATTTAAGCACAGTACTAGACTGGTGATGAGATTTCATTAATTTACAGTTGAGCTGGCTAGATGTAACTGTAAATTCTATGCTTCTTCAGTTTCTTTTCCCACACTACTCACTTGTGGGACTCCTTTCTAGCTCCATGTTTTCTAGCCAAATTTAATCTGCAAAAATTTAAATGCGGTGTCAATCACTATCTACTGTTAATGTTTCTCTTCCTAATTTTTCCACACCCTGTAACCCCTTGTTGTGTTAGTGGCTTTACTGTCTTGCTTGGGGTAATGCTGATTTAAAAAAAAAAAAATTATTAATTACTTTCTATTGTTATGTATCATTTCATTTCTGTGATCTTATATGTATTCTTGAATTTCATCTAGATCTTAATCATATATTTTTATGATCTTTTTAGAAACACTTGAACATTACTTTTGTCTTATTTTTCTTCATTTTGAAACCTACATTGAGGCATTCCCTATTTAGGTCATTTAACATTTTTTCTAACTGTCCAATAATACTAATATTAGTAAAATGTCAGTGGGTCAAATATTTTTGTTTATGTCTATTCTCATCCCTTCCGAGTTCATTTTCAGGAAGATGCTTTAAAAATAATTTCAGTGAAATTCTGCCCCCCTCTCCTTGCCTTGCTCTTTTTCTAACTTTTTTTTTTATCTGTGGCATCATCTCATCAAATCATTGTAGCATTGTTATCATATTTATTCTCAATAGCTTTTATAGAGTTTTCATCAATACTCTGCTGAGATAATCAGTTAAAGGCTGCTGTGTTTAGCTGCACTTTTTCATAATGAAACAAAGCTAAACAAAGTGTTTGTTATATTCTATTGATTTTTTTTTTCATTCAAAAAATAAACAAAGTATTAAAGAAGAGGAAAATTGTCATGTAATATCAGATGTCCTATATAGCAGTGAATTCTGGACAATTTCCTCACATGAAGAAATGCCGTCCTGGATATGACAATAAACTACATCCATCAGCAAGGCCTCTGATCAAGAGGTTTTGAGGAGCATGGAACCATCTCTTAATTGCTGGTGTTCCCAGGTTCACCTTGACCTGGGGTGGTAGCACCTGTTAGGGTCCAAGTTATGGGCAAATAATTAACCCCTAAACTGGGGTCAAAACACTGAAAGTGTAAAATTAGGTTTTAATACCAGAAATATTTTGTAAAATATTATTACCAGTGATAATTTTAAAAAAATTATTACCAGTATTATTAAAAAAAAAAAATAATGCCAACTATACATTTTTGAAAAAAAAAAATATTACATTTTCTTAAAAAAAAATATATTACCAGAAATAGATTTTTGAAGGAGAAAAATATTACCAACAATACTTTTTTGAAAAAAAAAATTACCAGCAATAAAAATTATCAGCATTAAATAACCCATTGATGGTGATATGCTGTAAAATAAAACAAACCACAACAGAAATGTGGTTCTACAGAAGGATTCTTCAAATATCATAGGCTGAACATGTAGATAGCGAAAATGTTTTAAGGAAAATGGAAACAAAAAGGACACATACTTAAAATCAGGAAGAAATAGTTAAAATAGGACACAATGAGGAAAGAAGGCTTGGAAAATTTGACACTTACTGGCCATATTGAAGATGAGAGAGACTGGGAAACTGAGTAATCTACCTAATGAGCTTGTGTAAATGGATGTCAGAACAACAAGTGGGAGGGATTGACAAGAACTACGAAAGAGAAGACGTGAAGAGCTGTGATCACCTATGTTTTAAAGGGACATGGCACCTAAATTTATTGTTTGTAAATGGTCTCTTGTTGAGTAGCCATTCCTGAAACCTATCTGTAGGACAGTTTTTTATTTGGTGCTTGGGTTTAAGGTCTAATAAATCTTTTTTTTTTTTTTTATAAAGTAAAATTAATATTCCTAGATTGAAGTTTTAAGTTGCTTTTTTTCTATATGCACTGGAACAGTTGATGATTGTCCTGCATTTTTCAAAAGGTTTTTAAAAATGTCATCTTTATCTGGCGTTTTTTCATGTTTCACATTTTGAAGTGCAAACTTTATTTCAGGAATTTTTACTAGTACTGTGGGTCACATCTTAGTTCCAGTAGGAAGAAAGCAATTGCTGTTTATCTATATGGATTGTTTCAAGATTTTTTCTGATAGCTTCTTCTAGTCTTACCAAGTTTTTTTTTTTTTTTTTTTTTTGTGCCTCATTTTTGTTGGTTAATTTATTTAATTCTGTTTTAACACTCACATTTTTCATTTTCCAATGTTGACAGAGTTATCTCCCTTGGTTTAGTGTATTTCTATTCTTTTCCCTGTTCTGTTTCTTTAATTATTATCAATTAGTTATTTATATTTTCTTCTTTTTTCAAAGCCTGATATCTGTTTTTGATTTCTATCATTAAAATGTTTTCTTTCTGAGAATCATTTTATTTTTCTTAAAGTCAAATTTGGCTCTGCAAGCTTCAATTCTATGATTGCCTTTCTATATTGGTTTATGGCAGTTACATCTTAGACTATTTTTATCAGCAATTATGGAATATTCTATTTTTTGCTTCTCCATTTTGTCCATTTAAATGGTATGATTCCTTTCTTCTCAATCTATAATGCTGTTGATATAATCGTAAAACCCTTTAATTTTCTTATTCTAAATTTTGAAGTTGGTGCCTATACTTGGATTATTTTTTAGAGGATATCTGTGTATAATTTGATTACTATTCCAATCTACTTTGATATAATGTCAGCACATTCTATGTTGCCTACAATGTCACTATCAATAGTAACTACTAAACTGTTTTTCTTTCTCATAAAATAAAGTAGACAGTTGATTACTTTCATTGGAAAGAAATTTTTCTCTTTTGCTGTCAATCTTGTTCCTTTCGATCATGAGTTGGTTCTGTCTGTAGTCTTCAACTTGTCTTTAAATGTCATATCTGTGTATGTGTGTGTATGGTGCATTGCCCACAGGAACATGCAATAATCCAGTTGTGCCTGGGATTAGGTGAGGATCCAAACCGGAATGTTGTGGTAAATACTTAATTTTGTCATCATTTTAGGGAGATAGTGTCCATTTACATCCATCTGTTGTCAATGATTTCTTGTGAGTTTGGTGATCACTGATTTCAATCAGGATCACTTTAGAGATCTACCATCTCTTAGGACCCATTATCTCCTTTCTTAGTGAGTTGAATATAACTTTGAGATGTATTGACTTAGAGGGTCTAATCAATAATTGTGATGATTCATAGGACTATATGTATGCAGGAAAAGAGGGAAAAGAGAAATTTTCAATTTGAATTAGTTACAGACAATTTTGTTATATACTAAAGTATTGAGGCAAAATTGAAGAAGATGTGAATATGATGAAAAGTAAAAGGAATGAAAAGAAAGTTGTTACAAGAAAAATTTTACAGGAATCAAGTACACAGAATCTACATAAAGTTTGAAAACAAGGATAAAAAAAAGGATGACTTTACATTGTATACAATTTTGAGATGATTTCTCCTGGTTACTTGAATTTAACTGCTCAAAAGATACTTATAAATGTTAGATTAAATAAGTTGCTATGTGAGAGAAGATTTGTTTTTTTTTTCCAACATAAGAAAGATATGTAGGATATTCTAAAAAAGCTGTAAATTCTCTGATTAAAACCAAAGTAATAAACAGACAAATTTCTAAGAGTGAGACTGCTAACTTTGATAATAAAATAGCTAGATTATGTTAAGAAAAGAATTAATTTCAAAATGCATTCATATTGAAAAAAATATAACATTTTTCACATGTGGAATCCAAGATTCTATATAATAAAAATGGCCAAATTTCTACACAATTTCAGCACAAGAGAGGGTCATTCAGATCTACTTGAATCAATTGTAATGAACTCTGTTTCTCAGTTCCATGAAACCATTTTCAACTGAACTCTTCACTCAAACCCCTAATTCCATAAGTCAGTCTCCTCCATTTTTTTGCTTTTTTAATTACTAAATTGGTAATTATTTAAAAGTCACATATACTCAGTTTGGTAAGGGTAATGTTCCTGGATGTAATGGATAACGAGGCTCAGAAATCAGAGAGCCAAGTTCAAGTTCCACTTGGGTTCATTACAATCATTTACATGCAAATACCCTTGGGAAAGGAATGAATCCATCTCTACTCCCCCTAGCTGTGGGTTAAATAGCAGGATAGACTCCTATAGCCTTGGATCATAACCAGTCTAATGTAGAAAGAAACAGCAAGATACTGCAAGAATATCTTCTGCCTAATCAGTCATAAATTGAAATTGAATTGTATCATGGATGGCACTTGACTAACTGAATTTTCTTAGTGATTTAGCACTAATTGCAAAGTATTTTTTGTTGTGAGTAAAGTTTGGGTGTGAATCTGATGGTAAATATATTAGTTTTCTAAATTGTCTTCTATATTTACTCTTGTTGTGTAGAAAGAAAATACTTTTGAACTTTTTTGTTATCATATCATTTACCTTTTTTTTTTAGAAAAACAACGAGAGAAGAAGAAAAGAGAAGCTGCACCAGCCATGCTTGCATCTTGAAATTCCCAGCTGATTCTTGTTCCACATTTATATGCCAAGTTTGCTTCTTTTCAATGAAGAAATGAAATGCTAAAATAGAAAAATAAAAATGGCTCTTCAGTCAGTGAATTCAATTTGATTTGACTCTGTACATATTTTGTATGGAGTACATATCTTCCTACGCCTGTTGTATTTGCTACCAAGATCAGTATGTGGCCATTGTATTGTATGTGTACATGTGTGTAATTAGTGAATACATTTGCATAGAGTAAAACAAAAACATCAAGCAAAAGAGAGACATAAATCGTGGCTCTCCTGTGATATTCACAAGTTGTAATGATTTTTCTTTCATATTGATTTAATCTTGCTATTTGGAATGATAGACAACTGAAAAGATGCAGGAGCAATTGATCAAAAGAAGATTAAATGATCCCACCATTGTCTTTGACCATAAAACATCTTTCAGTCATACCTTTAATATCCTCTAAATTTGCAATTACATTTTCATCTGCTGAAATATTTTGGTCATCTGTCTGTGTATGTGTGTGTATATATATATATATATATATATATATATATATTGATTTTGTTTCATTACAAATACATTTTATTTGCTGATTTTGATCAACAAAACTTTTTTAAAGCCTTTAATACCAAGATATTAGAAAATATGAATGTTAATAAAAGAAAAGAATTGAAAAAAAGCAGACCATCTATATTATACAATAAATTGCAAAATATTCTTTCATGTGTTCTAATGCTAAAATCAAGATACATTATTCTGCAATTACAACACATAAAATTGCCTTTTAGTTTTTTAAATTAATTTTTCCAATTAATAATGTCCAGTTGTGTTTTTTTGTATTTGTTTTTTGTGCATTTGAAAAGACAGAATTTATTTTAAAAATTGCAAAAAATGTTTATTAAAGATGTTAGGCCTGGTAAAAAGTATTACCATATTTGCTGCTGTCAAGCACACAGTTTTTTTTCCATAAATAAGTCTTGAAAATTTGTATAACATACAGGAATTCAATTTACCGTCTGGCATAGATAACCTTCCTTCTGGTGTTAGCATAGGCTTATGAAAGCCCTAACCTTTGCATGACAAATTTTTTAAACTTATTTTCAGAAAAAAAACTACATTCTTGATGCTGGTAAATATGGTATTTTTCTTTTTTCTATCTAAAATTTTCCTGAGCATTCAAATTGGAAATATATCTTGTCAACCATTTTTTGGTAACTCTTGTGGTGTCTCTTTCTACAGGCATCTTTTTTTTCAATGTTGGATAGAAATATAAAAACAGAACCAAAATACAACCTAAAATGTTCTTGTAATGTTTTTCAAATAAAGAAAATATTTTTCTTATCTTGTTCAACTGATAAGTATTTCAGTTCAGTTTTAATTATTTTTGTTTTATTTTTAACAATTTTTTCTAAATATTTGTAAGCAATTTTTTCTTTCACAACACTGAACACTGGCTTTCAACTTAAAAAAAAAAAAAAAAATTGTGACTTAAAATTGAGGAGAGAGGATGTTTTAATTTTTTTTCTTAAAAAGATGATCACTGTAAAAGTAATTTGTACAAGAAATTAAAAAGAACAATGAAAAAATGTTATATTTAAGTAAATTGGTGTTATCTTATTTTATGCAGTATCTTTTATATTTCTCATGTAATTGAGGTGCAGATCAAGATAAAGGAAGTAAAAAATATTAAAACAACTTATTTTTCACTTGCCAAGTTACAACTAAAATATATGAATCTGAAAGAAAGTATCATATTACAACATTTTGCATTAAAAGAAATCTCTATATTTCCTGTAAGATTTCATTTTCATGACATTGGTCATTTTAAAGAAGAAAAACTAAGATTTTTAATATCAGGAGGTTCTCATCCAGAAAACGATCAACTGGAAATTATAGAGTGTATGGGAAGTTTAAATTCAGTTATAATCTAACTCTTTAGGAATAACAAGAGTTGGGTCAATTTTACTGCAACAGCAATAAACCGATTGACATTATCAAAATGTCAAATTGTTGCTTTTTAAAGAATCTTTTACAAAGTAGAAACATTTCATTGTCAGGAAAGTCAAAGTTCTATGCTTTGAACTAATGTGATTAGAAACCATGTACATAGGAATTTGTATGTTTCTGTAACATTTTTCTCTTGAAGGATTTACCCTTTTAAGACTTTTTTTTTTTTTTAATTTAAATTCTTTTTTACCTAATATCAAATAAGTGTTTAAATATTGTAGCAATTATTGTATTTGACGGCATATAAAACACTTTTTTTTCTCAACAAATGACTTAAAAATTTGCCTTGCATTTTATATGCAAAGTTCATAGATTAATTTTATGCCAAACACTATCACAGACTATAATTTGGGTGCAGGACAGCTCATCAATGCTAACTCAACACTGCTGACAACTCACCACCAGCCTACTCAGCACAAGGACAACTCTGACAAACTATGAAATTTTTTGTTGATTTTAAAAACAAAAATAATTTATTAAGGTTTCTTTTTAAAACTGAATAAAAGTAATTTATTAAGAATCATTTTTTAATACATGACTATTTTTAATTTAAAATTTATTGAAAATTGTATGCAGTTCCCCTCAAATATTCAGTTGTTTTCAGCACAATATTTCGAGGCTGTATGCACATTAGCCAATTCTATATATATATATATATATATATATATATATATATATATATATATATATTCAAAACACCATGAAATGTCATTTTTTCACCCCAAGAAAGGCAATAAATTCACTAAGATGCAAGGGGTTACTGAGTGTGAAAGAATATGAGAGAAAGAAAAACTTTATTAAAGAAACCAGAAATTAAGAGGACATTCCATTTAAAAAATTCCTAGCATTCGTGTTATAAACTAACTATAAACCAATGCTTAGTGCTATTTCCAAAGCAGTCTAGACATATAGTACAACCTGTTTCATGATATATTTGTGTTATATTGTTGTGTGTGTCACTTAGGCTGTACTTTAGAGTATTTGATTGAAACCAAAGTTGCAGCACCCATGAGAAATTGCTATCATTGTCATTTATTGCCAGTAAATGGTAATTTCCTATCTTCTAGAAATGGGCCAGCACATTCAGGCAACAATGAGAGTGTTAAATTTCACCTCCTCTTTCTTGCTACTTTCCCTGCATTTCTGGAAATTCCATTTCATGATTTTCTAGTCAGCCTACCCAAATGAAATTGGCTTCTAATATAACCAGTTCGGTGGCTTAAAACAGTGCAAATTTGACTTGATTTACATTTCTTTTCATTTCCCAAGTTTGTTCCATCTGAAACAAGATCATGACAAAAAACTTTCTTGAAATTATTTTATCTTGATTTTAAAAAAAGCCATCTTCCTTCAGGATGTAGGTAATCATGGCTCTCCCCAAATTTTTTTTCTTTATTTTCTGTGAATTGTCATAAGTTCTTGAGAAAGTAGTTCCCTGTTTCCTTCTTGATAGTTGTGAATTTATCTTGATAAAGAAATTAAATTATCTTTAGTTTATTTATCTTGAGTTTCATTTAATAAATTTAATAGAGAAAAATTAAATCTACATTACTATTTTTTCAGCATTTGTGATCTCACATATACAGTATATTGAAAAGGTCTCAGTTCAATGCACTTCTCAAAATTTGACTAAACATTAGGGATTTCTGGACAGAAATGGTTGGGCTAACTTTTCAGTTTTTTCCTCATAATAATCTATGTATTAACAGAGGAAAAATACATTTTCTCATGCTATTGATTAGCAATTAAAACGTTAAAATTATTTGCTATTCTAGCCATGATTAAAAAGAAAAATCCTGTTGTCCATAATTGTATTACTTAGTAGATTTTGTCTATAATCTCTGACTAAATAAACCAGTAAATCAGCAATGGCTACAGTATATAATACTGACAGGTGCTCAAATATCATTCACTTGTAGATGTTTCTTTGAATTAATATATGCTGATTGTGTTGCATGTCTACTGAAGATGAGATGCAATCAGATCAGACTTGCTTCTCAAAAAGTTCGGCCTTGATGTCCTTGGATTGCTGCTGTGCAATCATAGACTATGTTGGGCTGGTTATGTTGAGTGCAGGGGTGGGGGTACTCAGACAGGTCTGTGAGGTGGGGTTGAGGGCAACAGATGAAGAAGACAGATCAAGATCACTTGGAAGGGTGTTTTTTAGAAGGATGGAAAAATTGGGACTAGAACTAACTGATGCAAGTGATGTGCATATGTGGAGAGGTAAACTGAGATATTCTGTCAAGCAGGACCCACTTTGAATTGTGTGAAATTAATCCCAGTTCTGCTGGAAAAACAAAAAAAAAAAACATAGCTATGATGATGATAATGATGATGAACTCGAAAAAATACGAAAACCTCCATCTTAATTTTATGATTCATCCATTTGAAAACTGAACTCAACTTTTGATGTGAAAAGAAACCATTTTTATAAATGTATATATCATTTGCTCAGGTGCTGATGCAGAAGTTAACTATTAGCCAATGAGGGTTTACTTGAGTCATGGTACCATAAGTGGAGATATGTTTCTCCTTATTTTAGATGGGAGAAGTTGTTCAGCTCTGGGGATTCCAAACCTTGGGATAGAAACTTCCCCATTCCAGTAAGTAAATGGGAGTCAGTGTAATACTGATGCCAGCATGACAATGGTTGCGGGACTGGGCAATTTTTGTCTTTGACCCATATGTGTATGGTGCTCCCCAAGTTAGAATGACCTTGTGTCACATCCAGCCTTGGTGAAGAGGCTGGGTAAATATATTTTATACAACAAAAGCAGAAGAATTTGTAAGTAAAAATAATATTAACAGCAAATTGATAAATTTACCATTTTGTTTTTATTCCTAAAATCTCTATTTCAACTCTTAATATCCTTCTTTTTCTTATTCCACCTTATGTTTTTCTTTCTTTCTTTCTTTCTCCTTCTCCTTCTCCTCCTTCTGCTTTAACCCCTTCATTCAGTATCAAATATGAGCCCTTGTGTGTATG